GCGCTGCCCGCTGCAGAGGGACGGCGTGTACCGCTGGTTCTCGGAGCTGCCGTCGCCGCAGCGCGTGGAGTTCCTGTGCGGCCTGCTGGACCTGTGCATCCCGCTCGAGCTGCGCTTCCTCGGCTCGTGCCTCGAGGACCTGGCCCGCAAGGACTACCACTCGCTGCGCGACTCGGAGATCAAGGCCAACAACCCGGCCGACCTGGGCAGCCTCACCAACCTGACGGACGAGGTGGTGCGCAGCAAGCTGCTCGTGTCGCTGGCGCTGCTGGGCTCGGAGCAGCGCGAGGCGGCGGGCGTGCTGTACCGCACGCTCACGCACATCGACTCCATCATCCACAACTACGGGCTGCAGCTCAACGAGGGCCGCACGGGCGATGAGTTCCTGCTGCTCTTCACCATGGCCTCCAACCACCCGGCCTTCAGCTTCCACCAGAAGCAGGTGCTGCGCCAGGAGCTCACGCAGATCCAGAGCAGCCTGAGCGGCGGCGGCGGCAGCGGGGGCCCCGGGGGCAAGAGCGTGCTGCCCACCTGCCCGGCCTGCCACAAGGTGCGTGCCCGCGCGGGGCGGCCGGCCCAGGCCCCAAACCTCCACCCCGCGCCGCGAAACCCCACCCGCTCTCCAAGCCTTCACTCCGGGCCCCAAACCCCCACACCTCCACTCGCACGTCAAGCCTCCACCCCAAACCTCCACAACCCCTTACCCTCACCTCAAGCTTCCACCTCGCGCCCCCAGCCACCTCCTCGCAACCCAGACCTCCCACCCAAACGCCCACTCGCGCCGTAAGCTTCCGCTCCGCGCTTCGCTCCGTGTCCCAGGCCTCCACCCTAGACCCCAAACCACCATGCACCACAAGCCCCAGTCCCGCAGCCTAAGACCCCGCCCGGCACCCCGCGGCCCTTGGGGGCGGTGGCACTCATCTCGGGCCGCGGCTGGGTCCCCGGGGGCCTCCCGGCCAGGGCGCCCGGGATCGGGGAGGCGGGGGGCCCGCGGTTCGTTTCGGTTGGGTTCTGCAGGAGAACGCCCCGGGCGGAGTTTGCGGCCCCTTTGTGCCTCACTTTTCCCATCCTCGGCTGGAAGCGCTCTAAGGTCTTTGTTTCTTTAGTTGGGCTTTTGGGTGAAAGATGAGTGTTACACGTTGTGTCGCCTTGGTTTCTTCAAATCTGGTGTTTATTACCAGAAAAGGAAGCCTCTAGTGAGGTGGAGATTAGAAGGCGCTAGAACCTTGACGTTCGCTGGGTGCCGTGCTGGTGCTCCCAAGGCACAGATATCCATTTCCCCTGAGTGGGCGGTGTCGCCGCTGGGAGATTAGTGTCAGCGGTGGGCCGCAGACTACGGCGTGTGCGTATAAGCATGTACATATGTGTACGCGTGCCTCTGAGCGTACGTGTATACGTGTATATATGTACTTGTGAATGTGTACGCACATGGTACGTATGTGTGTAGACACGTGTATATACGTATATCTTTGTATTGTGTGTGTATACTGTGTGTATTTAAGAACCAGGCTACTGTAACAGACAGGAAAACATGTTTAGAGCCTTGGATGCGTGTGAAACAGTTATTTCTCGGTGATGCGCCTTCCTTTGTAGAAACAAATCCCAGGCTGACTTGGAGTCAGAGGGTGTCGGACTCATAAGGAATGTTAGGTTAAGTCAAGATCTCCTGTCTCCAAATTAAACAGGAAGGGCACGGTGGTCATCCTCTTAGAAATGTGGACTTTTGTCTAAATGTTTCAAAACTATGTAAACACAAAATGTTTGGGGCTTAGGCTTATTTTTAATAGCCCCTTGGGACCCAGTGCCAAAATTGTGCTCCAAGAAAAAGAGTTTCTATTTGGCCAAGTGTGGTGTGTGTATTTAGATTACAAACTGACTTTCTTTGGGAAGGAAGAGATTGCAGTCAGGACCAGTCGTGCTCAATACGGTTTGACAGTGTCTGAGCTCTGAGTTAAAGCTTTGATATTCTCTGGTTTGCTGGTGGTGGTTTCTAAGCTGTCTTTCAAGCCTGGATTGCGGCTTTTCTTCTTTAATGTCTTCCTCTAAGATGTGGTTGTGGTACCTACCCTGGTTTTAATCTATGTCGTATCTTTTTTGGTGATGTTGACCTCTGAGACGGGTTTTCTTTTTAAGTGTGCAGTCAAGTTCCACTCTGAATCCTGTTGTGCACTGGGCAGAAAAATGTCATTGCAGCTACAACAAAGGGAAGGCAGGGTCCTAGAGAATGTGGTTGTCTTGGGGAGCTCAGCAAGCTCTGGGGTGCCAGTGGAGTGTCACCTGTTCATGGGCTTTCGGTCCCTTCTGGTCGACTTCACGTGCTGTTCGTCTTCTGTTTAGATGTTGTACATTGATGGTGTCTATGGCTGTTACTCCAGTCGTGTTCAGCTCTTGAAGGGGAGTTTTTTCTGTGTGCAGCTGTATCACTTTATCGAAGCAGAAGATGGCGATTTTTATTTTGGCAGGGCAGAGTGCTAAAGGTAGAACGAAAATACCTTTTATAAGAGAGCCTTTCTGTCCAGCCAAAAATCCCTTTGATGAGAGGAAGGGACTAATCTACCCCCCCCCCCGCCCCGCCCCACTCCTGCCCACCTGGGTGCTGAGCTGACCAGCTGTGTGACCTTGTCCTCCTCCTGGTGTTTCCCTGTTGGAGCAGAGGGCAGGTTACCTGCCTCAGAGGTGGTGGAGGGTTACATGAGGTCACATGGGGAGTGCCCAGCAGATGTGCAGTGAGTGCCTCCTTCTCTGCCCCTGTCCTCTCTGTCTTTACAGGGGTGCTAACTTGAGGCACATTGTTATAGAGGGAAGTGTTTATGTCTCAGAGTGTTTGTGTTTTCTAAATTGATTTTTGAGTAGTTACTTGGAGGTGACAGTTTTTTTTTGTTCATCCATGGGAAATTGGAGAATTCTGCCTCACCTTTAATAATGAGGTTATAATGAGTAACCTTGGGGCCGTTGTTTCCATAGTTCAAAACAATCGTGGTGTCTGGTTTTCCCTACATCCTCTGTGTCACTGCTAAACTCATTTCAGTGACATTCATTTAACTTTCTCTTCCTTTGCTGCTTTAAAGTTAGAGCCTGACATTGATAAACACTTTGCTGCTTGGAGTCAACAGTTCCTGAAATCTAGCATTTAAGCATTTTGTCTTCTTAGTATCTCTACGTCTAACATTTAATGTAATCCTGAAAAAGCAACCCCATTAAAGCTTTTTTTGCATTTCTTTTGTAAGCTATTGTATTTTGTTTTGAACTCTTTGAGCTTAGAAACTTTGTGTTTATCTTTGAGATAAAGATGTTGATCTTTTTAATTCTTTATCCTATTTAAAGTGATACTTCTTTTACCTATATTTTCTGATATAGTCATTATTTGCAGTTGCTTCTCCAAACCCTCACTGTGTTATTTTAAAAAAATTCTTATTGCTTGGAGGATGTGTAGAAGAAGTTGAAAAGTGTGAGAATGTGGACTAGATGTTTATTCGTAGCGGTAAAGCTGGTGGGAGCCTGCAGTAGCTGGACTGTGCTCAGTGGCCGACAAGTGCTGTAGGTGTGCTGCTCCTTAAGGCACATGCCGGCTAGTGATAATGGTCGGTTTGGACTCACACTGCCTCTGTGCTTTGATTTTATTTAAATATAAAGCTATAATTTTTGAAAAAGTTTAAATTTATCCTTTGCAATCTTTTCTCTGTGTAAGTGATAATGTGCTAAGGTATATGGTTTTTTTTTTAAATAACAGCATTCTTGAGATTTAATTCATATGTCGTAAAATTCCCCCCTTTAAAGTGTACAATTCAGTAGGTTTTAGTATATTTACAGGGTTGTGCAACTATAACCACTATCTAATTCCAGAACATTTTCCTCACCCCTGAGAGAAACCCGGTGCCTATTTGTAATCACTTCCCATTCACCCTCCCCCAGCCCCTGACAACCACTCCTCTACTTTCTGTCTGTAGATTTGCCTGTTATGGACATTTCATATAAATGGAGTCCTGCAAATATGTGGCCTTTTGTGGTTGGCTTCTTTCACTCAGCATAATGTTCTCAAGACTCATTCATGTTGTAGCATGTGTCAGTACTTCACTCCTTTTTAGGGCTGAACAATATTCCCTTTTGTGGGTAGGCCCCATTTTGTTTATCCATTCATCTGGTGATGGATATTTGGGTTGTTTCATGTGCTTATTTTTAGGCTTTTTTCCTTCATGGTTAATAGGCTCTTGTCTTAATCCCTTATACCTAACACTTAGATCTTTGAAGCATTATCAACACATAGCTGTCCTGAGGGACCTCATTCTCATGACCAGAGTCCGCCTGGTGGGTTGCTGGCCTTGTGTGCAGCACCGCGTAGATCTTCCCTTGGCCTCTCTTAGGAACTGCAGTGGAAGGTGGCCGAGAATACACTGTGCTCTCGAGACTCAAGGTCTGGTCGTGTTGGGTCAGTTCAGTGGTCAAGAGCTGGGTGGAAGCCTCAGCTCCAGCCACTCGCAGCTGAGAAGCTGCGAGTGCCCTCCCACGCTTGTGTTCCAGAATCCTCCTGATATCGGTGGAGATCATAACGGAACTACTTCGTGCAGTTGATTTGTTTTTTTAAGGGGGTGCTGAAACAGTGTTGTTAAAGTGCTCAGTGCAGGAGTGTGATGGGTGGTGGGTGGTGGTCTTCCTCTGGGTGTGTGTTCTGTGGCACAGTTCTGGAACTGTCTGCTGTGGTTTCCACCATGAGGGCTCTAGAGTAAGCACTGTAGAAACTTTGGGTCTACACACATACTGTGAATAAGCCTGCTCATAATCTCCTGCCCAAGGCAAGCAACAGCTTGCTTTGTTTCATTGCTTTTCCTTAACTGCTGAAAATCATTCAGTTCAAAGGTGAAACATTGGGTAGTTTGCCCTGTGGTTATCATGTGAGGTATAAATGGCTTCTTCTGGTTTCTCCTTTAACCCTAAATTCTTTGCCTGTTGCAGCTGAAAGTAATCTAGCATTCCACAAGAAGGGACTTTGTCTGGAGCAGTTGTTGCTATTGCTAATGGTTAAAGGAATAGCTGTGACCTAGAGGCACAGTTGTGTCTCCACCTTTAACACTTGTTCTGCTCATGAAATAAGTCCATGGAGTCTGAGCTAAGTCTGGCTGTCTTTGTTTACATTGCTTTGTTTATTATGCTACAGGAGATAATATCCTAAAACATACTGGAATTTTTTTGGGGGGAGGGGCAGCTTTTATAGGTCCCAAAACCGTCCTCTTTTTATAGTGAAGTACGTGATATAGCAATTGAGACATCCTGGGATGCAGTTTCCATTGCTTTCTTGTTGGTGGTGTATTCATTGAAAATGAAAACTAACCACATCTTGGAGTTGCATCGTATTGCTGTTCTGCTATGTTATGTGGCAGTTTGATTACTGTCCCTTGCCCTCACGTTAAATTAAGGCTGTCTCCTTTCACATGAGGTACTTTATGTTTGCTTTGTTCAGCTCAGCAAATGTCTGAGTTCCTATTCTTTATTGTGTTCTGGAGTATAGATGTAGAAACTGGAAGTTTTGTGTTATATTAGGATGTAATGAGTAAT